AATGACAATTAACAAGAGAATAACAATGTGTAGGAAAAACAATTTATTGGAACATATTTTACCATTGTTCACGTAAACATATTTGTATAAATTATTCAAAATCTCCTCCTTTTGCTTTTATACAATTCCTTAATCTTTGTGGCGATTCGTCGATTTGTGACAGAACTTAATAACCGATTATGTACAGTATCGGACCAAAGTATTCGTACATCCCTTAAAATGGAACAACTTTTTTAAAATTGGTCCAAATTACTTCAGTTCTTTTGTGAAGTTAGGGACATTAGTTTACTAAATGATGTGTAGAAAAAAATTGAAAAAGTTGCATGTAAAAAAATAAATACATATCGAAGATTTATGTTAGTTATATACATGTTGATAATTTCATCAAAATCGGTTGACGTTGCTACAAGATACAAACGATTAAAAATGTTGAAAATCACAGTTTTTCCCGACATTCGACCTACAACTGTAGTAACAATTAACAATTCTTACATCTTCTGTTGCCTGTCACTCGTTTCTGTATCAAGGAATTTCAATGAAAGTTTTAGTATGTATTTATTAAATTTTCATTATAGCCTCCGATTAAAAAGTTGTAAAAAATTACCATTATTTGTAAATTGCAAATTTTTCAATTTTTTTTACACATCATTTAGTAAACTAATGTCCCTAACTTCACAAAGGAACTCAAGTCATTTGGACCAATTTTAAAAAAGTTGTTCGGTCTTAAAGCGTGTACGAATATTTTTGTCCGGTACTCCATATCTTCGATTTTAAATTACAGACGCTACATGCATTTATTCAAGTTCTCTACTCCGTATGCCGTTTACAGATTTTGGCGTACTGACTATGAATAAATCGTTATAACTTCCGTAGATGCAGGTGTACGCGAAAAATTCTTGGTCGGTAATCTGTAGGTTCTAACAAATACATTTGCACAAGACTTATCGTGACATTCGCGGGAATTCCGTTTCGTACATCTAACTATACCGGAAAGAAGACGAAAAAATAGGCATTCAAGAAGGCCTGTTTTTTTAAGGGATTAAAACACAGTTATCCCATTCATTTTTCTACATGTATGGTAGCTAAAAGGGCCACTCTTTCACACTGAACATGTAGATTTAAGCTAATTCGTCTGAATATAAAGATCTACTGAGGCATATGTTCGGCAATTTCAGCAAAAAATATGATCGTTCTGAAACAGAAAGTTTTCCTTTATTTCAAAGCTTGCGAAAAAAAATTCTAAGGTAACTTGTAGCAAACCGCGTGTGCATGTCAAAACTTTGTTCGTAGATATAAGAATCTACGGCTAAAATTTCAAGGATTTTCAGTGAGGTCGAAAATTTGACTTTAGTTTGCGTTTCCACGAATCCGGACCACTGTGTCCCTCACCCTCCAAAACCATACAGCTCTTCAACCCCTTTTTCCCTGCAGATAATATCACGTAATTTCTTTCAAACTTTCGCATGCAAAAAGTTAACGTGCGCCACAAGGACGCAACAGTTTTCAGCTTAGGCTGTTGTGGGTAGTAGTGTGTGTTCTCCACATTACAATAAGTTGTGTATGATTTCAGTATCGAGAGACATGAATTGACAGGAACTGCAAAACTCATTCAGTAACATGAACAACGCAATTTTATAAAAATTAGTATGCTACACAGTAAGAGTGTGTCCGATACCCACAAAGATTTAGTGAAAGCGTTAGGTAGACCTGCATATTTTGTAAGAACATTACAATTTCGGGTTAAAGGGTCATGCTCAGTCAGGAGAGCGAAAAAAGAGTGGTCTTTAGGAATTTTTTTCTCGAAAACTATAAGACCTTTTTAGAAAAATGTATTCGTGTTTCAAGTATTGCAGTTTCTGGATTATAAGGTAATTCTTTTATTTAAAAATATTTATTAGTAAATAAATGGTGAACGATCTCCCGGATGTCTCTTCACAAAAAGTGGTCTGCCTTGATCACTGTAACGTCGTAACGGTTCATCTGAAATTAAAAATTCAGTAAGATTTATGTAATGGAAGAATCAATCTTGTCCTTGAACGTGGGGTTTTTCGAAATATTGATTAGGTACAAAATAGCGGACGTTTTCCTGAAAAAGTGTGATTTTCACCTAAAAAATCACTCGTTTTTGGTCAATTAAAAAAAAAATATGGAATGAACAAACGAATCCTTTGTTCAAGGACAAATTTTTCTGATTTGAAATAAGGAGCAAAAGGCTTCATGTAAATCGACTCAGTAGTTTTCGATAAATATTGATCACCGATTTGAAAAATGTAGTTTCGAGAAAAACGCGTTTAAAGTTTCAAGTCAAGCTTACACTTATATAAAATATTAATTTTTTAACGCCTGTAACTCTGTCATTTTTAATTGGATTACCTTGAAACATGCACAGAATATTCTCGAGATGTTGTACTCAAAGAAAATGTAGAAAGTGAAAAATCGATTTTTTGAAAATTTCTGTCTGAGCATGAACCCTTAAGAAGGTCCATCAAGGCAGGACCGTCAGTAACGTAGTCGGGCAGAGTGGATCAAAGGGGTTGGGGGCTGTAGCCCCGGGCCCCACGTTCCAGGGGGCCCTGTTCTGAACTTTCCATTTCGTTATGATTAAATATTATTTAATTTGATTTATATCAAATTACAATTTTTGAAGATTTATGTATTTTACTCTGCTCTACTACACGTGAGTATTTGTGCTTTCCATCGAAGGGGGCCCCCGAAAATTTGATAGCCTTAGGCCACAAAAAATATTAATCCGGGCCTGGGGTCATGCTAGTGCACACAATGTGCTGGCGGAACATAACGAACGCATTGCTGCAGTGAAAGATTTTCTGAAATTTCCCGCAACTGGCAATGCCTGCAGCAACCGTATACCGCATTTTAACCAAAAACCTCAATATGTGGAAATTATTGGGTAGGTAGATTCCTTCGTATTTTTACGGAAAACGTGGTCAGAATCTGCTCTCATTAAGACAACATCCACGATATTAACCATCGTTGGTGGATGAAAGTTGGATATTTTTGTACCGACCCCCCAAACGCGACTACTCCGACCCCCGCTAGTGTAGGTCCTGCCTTCATGGATCTTCTTCACTCAAAATTACACTGTCCTTAGGGAACATGCAGATCTGCCTAAGACTTCCATTAAGTCTTTGTGAATGTCCGACACATTCTTACTGACAACGGGAACATCCAGGTCGGCTAATCGCTTTAGGAATGACACTATACAGGGTGTAACAAAAATGTTGTCCGACCCGTAAATGGGGCACTCGGGGGGTGAATTGGAACAAGTTTTTCCTTAGCAACAATGTAATCTGAGGCTTCGTTACCGAGATATTAACGAAAAACCCCGACCAATCAGAGCGCGAGTTTGCCAGCTGAGTTCCCGCGCAAGCGGTGACTACGCGCTGCGACTGGTAGGCAGCGTTACCGCGGGAAATCGGCTGGCAAACTCGCGCTCTGATTGGTCGGGGTTTTTCGATAATATCTCGGGAACGAAGCCTCAGATTACATTGTTGCTAAGGAAAAACTTGTTCCAATTCACCCCCCGAGTGCCCCATTTACGGGTCGGACAACATTTTTGTTACACCGTGTATACAGGTTGTAGTACACATATAGTGTTGCATATGCAAGCTTGCCGTAATACCTCCCAAGTTTTCCCCGTTGAAATTTTGATTAAAAAACCTCAAGATTGTACATATTTATTAGAAAATAATCGCGAATTAACGAAATTTGAAAAAAGTTTCCTTTTTGTGAAATTGAAATAAATTAAAGTAAGATAAAAAAATTATTTGCATTGCAAAGATCTGTTTAAAGTGAAAAAAAAATATTCTCTTTCCTTACTCCTCCTCCTCCTCTCGACCCACCTGATTCGAACTCGGGACTCGCAGCGTCGTAGTTCGTTACTCTACCGACTCAACCATGGATCCTCCGTTATAACGTGTTTTACGTAAATGAATGACTAGATGTGTACAAAACTTTAAACCAGAATATCTCGAAAACGGAGGCCCATTCTAGGGAAACCAATGAGGATTTTGTAACATTGTATGTGTACTACAATTTGTACATAGTGTTATTATAAAAGCTATTAGCCGACCTTAATGTTCCCCTTGTGAGTAGCATACTAATTTTTATAAAATTGCGTTGATCATGTCATTCACCGAGTTTTGCAGTTCTTATCGGTTCATGTTTCACGATACTGAAATCTTTCACAACTTATTATAATGCGGAGGACTCAGGCTGTCACTAACACCAGCGTCGGTTGAAAACTGCTATGTCTTTATGTCGTACGCTCTCTTTATGCACATGCAAGTTTGAATGAAATTACCTAACAATACCACAGACGAGATATAAGAATAGACCTAACATCTCATGGGACTCGGTGTCCCACGAAAATCACGCTGGTTCGAGCGCACTCCATAGAAAATTTTCCGACTTCAGAAACTACGTTCGACACCGTGATGACGCACAGAAAAGTCACACTCGTGACTGCATATAGCGATATATGTATACATACGTTATTACCCCGGTTTCGCTAGCAAACAATGGAATATTGAAATGGTAGGGGGGTTCTGACGCCCCCGAAGTATAGGACAGAAAATTACATTGCATGTTAGGTCTATTCTTATATCTCGTCTGTGACAATACTAACGTAAATCAAGGTGTTAATTTGAAGCTACCCACCCTGTATGACAGAATGAAAGGACCGTATAGCGCCCGCAAATAAAGTGTGCACGATAGATCGTGGAACGCCAGGCGGTAGGATGAAGAGCCTGAGAAGCATCGAGCATTATTCGATCATCAGCGTTGATCCAAAGAACGGGGATAAGACTCGAGCAGTATGTGTGTAACGAGGCCGGGATCTACCAGATCGGTGATTTTTCACCCGTGGCCATCAGGGATCATTCGCGAAAACGGGTGTGCACGACAAATACGAGAGGAGGCGTCTTCTGCCGGAGGAGGATCCCGTACAAAAGGACGCGGTGGTCGTCCGTGAATGCCCGGAAATGCCTCTGATGGTGAAGATGATCGATGTGTTCGGTTCCCTTCGGTCCCTGTTCAAGGTACAGAAGACCTCAGAGGACACGCTTGTGTTCCGTCTCCATTATCGCGCCACGGTTGCCCTTCTTCTTGGTGGTTGTGTGACACTTGCCTGTAAAAGCATATCCGGCTCACCGATCCACTGCGAGGCGTCCGGCTCCGTCGACAAGATAGTACTCGAGACATTCTGCTGGCTTCACACTACGTACAGCATGGTGCACGCGTTCAACAAGAGCCTCGGCCAAGCGGTCCCATATCCGGGCGTGTCGAATAGCAAAGGCGACGGACTGCACGGCCACGCGTCCCATCCCTTGGTCAAACAGCACAAGTATTATCAGTGGGTCATCTTCTTTCTGCTGCTCCAAGTACGATCGGATGTTCTTTCTCTTTTTCTTCACGGGAGAACTAAAATTGACCGTTTGAACTAGTGATCCATAAAGCTCGAGTCTTCGAAGCGTTAAAGCTCAACCTTAGAGACTACAGACTCGTCTGGATTATTGTCTGGCTTGTTTTATACGATTATTGACTAGGCGTTATCCCCACCACTGGGAGGGGGGGGGGTCTATAAAGCTCATATTTTTTTGTCCCTCCGCTGTTATTGCCGAGGCTCGGGCTTCAGGCAAAAAAAGAAATTTATGAGGGTCTGAAGCATTTCTCCCTATAAGATTATTGTCCGGACCTGAGTTCGGAGCATAATCAAGAGGAGTCTGTAACATCATATGAAGCTTGAGTTGTCGAGGCTCGTATGTTTAACACGTTGACTGTCGAGTGTGTTTTGCTGGTTTTGTCTCCAGTATCGAAGCGTGGTTGCCGATATTAGAACGATATCGCGATCAAATATCAGGTCGAAATTCATGTAAATACCGAAAACAATAGTTCAACTTTGTCTCTCAGATCAATAAAATGTGAACAAATTGAGAAACTATCTTGTTCGATGAATAACATCTTAAAATGACTTCTATATCTTGCTTAAATATGTGCATTTTGTAATCAAAGAAAGTTTCATGCGTTGTTCAGAATATACATATTTGCTCACATTATCAATAATACGTAGTTTAATGAGATTTGGGTGTCGCAGGAATAATTTACAAAAAACACGCTTTTCTGGGCGTTACTGTATTATTCCTCTTTAAAGCTTTAAAACCTTAAGTTTCATGTATGTAATATTAGAGTTCAAGACTGAAAACTTTTAAGTTAAGTTTTAAGGCTTCGAAAACTCGAGCTTTTGTACATTACTTCACTATATACAATTTATACGATTCGAGCGTTAAAGACTCGAGCGTTAAAGATTCGAATTTCCACGGTTCAAGGTTCGAGTGTTGAGGGTTCGAGCCTTTAGGGTTTGAAACGCGACTCGAGGTGTTAATGCTCACGACTCAACGCTTATTTTGACAACATTAGTTTGAACGCGTGTTGACCCTTTCGTTCCCAAATAATTTAACGATCACAAAAAAATGTATATGTCCTTTTTGCATCTTTATTTGTGTTACACGACGTATGATGGGTCCGGAGCAATAGGGAGCTATGCCATAGAATGTTGAAAAATACGATGTTTTAAATTAATTTTTTAAATCTGGCACCTCTTGGCGCTTAGTTGTTATTCCTTAATTTGTAACTACATTATATGTATTTATCTATTATACATAACATATATGTACAATTGTATGTACCAAGTGGACGGTAACTGGTAGTACAACCGGAAAGGGGTTGATTCTATATAAAAAAATAAATCAAAAATATAGAATAGGTTTTTTTTCATTTGAGACTCCGTTTTTGAGAAAATCGGCTTTGAATATCTGTTGGCGACGCGTGCAATTGAATAGGACTTGGTTAGCGCCAAGATCTGTTCATTGCATTCCATTTCCACTTACTACCATGATAAATGTACGCGTATCAGATTAATTTTCGAAGTCGATTTTTGTAGTTTTAGAGCATTTATATTTTTAAAGATTGGGATAATAAAGTGAAATCATGATGGAACATCGATGTTAAGACCTTATTAAGTACAATTCTTCAGATTTAAAGATTCTCTTTCATTTCAATCACTACTGCAAATTAATTAAAAACTGACCCAAACTTACCCACTGTTCCCTACATTTTAAGTAGCAATGTAAATCAATACCGCAAATAACAAATAACTCTATCACACTCTATAGCAGTGGTGGCCAAATCTTGTTAGAATAGGAGCCATATATCAGAAATACTCGAGAACCGGATCCTCTACTGGAACGGTATTAAATTGTGAATTACGCTTACAATCTGTGTGTACATTGCACTGTACCATAAAGTTAGCAAGCTTACAAAAATATCACATGATATACGTGTATGTAGTATGTATCAAGTTTATAAAAAAATATTGTATATGAATATAAGAGCTCCAGTAAGGATCTAAAGTCTCCGTGTGCGGCTCGCGAGCCACAGTTTGGCCACCGTATAATCTTCATTCAGACCTTAGGAGACAACAAACAATTATTTCACCGCCTCGCACGAATTCTTAAACACGAATGGAAATCGAGTGAAACAATACCAAATTCTGTTCAGTTCTGTTTATCCTCTACACACCACCGCGCTCCATAGGTGCAGAAAATCTGCCGTTTTAATAATAACCCAATTCTTCGGAAGACCATCCTCGTCACTTCCTGGTCACCAATCAATCGTGACTAGATTATAACCATGTTCATAAGCCAAGGTCGCCGACAGACCTTCGCTCGGCTTCGTTCCACCAGTAATACGCTAAAGACGAGGGGGGAAAAAAGCCTCTTCCCTGAATCGCTTCCGTTAACCCGTTCTGGTCACATCTCTTGAGAGTTCTGTCATGGTCACATGGTCGAATTGACTATTGGATTAAAAGGAATTACGGAAGATAGTTTTATCATTGTAGAATGCCGGAAAAATCGCGAAAGTGAACATTCATAAACAATGAGTTTTTTTTACTAAAAACTTCGTAATTTCTTTAATTTTTATGTCTTTTTTCGATACAATAGAAATATGCAAAGGGATATACAGGGCGTACAAAAGTGTTGTAGGTTTCTGAAATGGGTCACTTGGCCGGTAAGACTCGCGCTCTGATTGGTTGGGGTTTTTCATTAATATCTCGTTAACAAAGCCTGGGATAACATTTTTGCTAAGGAAAATCTTGTTCCAAATCACTTTACGTGTGACCAATTTTAGGGACCTACAACACTTTTGTTACACCCTGTATAAAGTATTAAACTTTTGTTGGGGTCATCAGGACCCCGGGGTGACCACGGAGGGTTATCCAGCTAACTATATTTTTCTGCTACAGTAAACGCATACTTTATCACTTTAGTGAGAATATCTGGAACATTTTTTGTCGATCGAAAGTACGAAACTTCATTAAATGATATCCAAACATGGTGAAAAGTCATAATATGGAGTCAAAACATGGAGAAAATGGTGTTACATATTGTGACTAACAATGTTTTAAATAGCCTTAAAATGACTATTGGTTCTTGATTTTATGAAAAAAAAATTTAATTTTCAAGATACTAAAAAGATGCAGTGAGCGGGTTATACGGATCCACGGAATCAGATAAACGGGGTGAACGTGACGGAACGGAGTTTACGGAAAAAGAGCGATCTTTATGGCCCATTCGAATTTTCCTCTTCTTTGGTCAATTTTATCCACTTGCCGCGGTGGCTTCGCCGCAGATTTATACGCTCAATTGGCACACACGCAAGCACCGTTCAAGTGTGGTACAGGTCGGTCTATTTTCAACCTGCGGATTTTCCTTTTTTGTTGGGTTCCTGCGCGTAGACGTGTTGCCGTTTTAACGATGCTCCCGTGCCGCAACAATTCCCAGCTCGCACAAGAATCTCGTTTCGTTACACCGAAACGAAGGGCCTCAAATTTTGAATGGCTCTGCGGGTTCCTTTAAGGTGTCTTGCCATTGTGAAGCTCTGAAAAATTGTCATTTTTTGGGAATTGTTTTTCAGTGAACAAAATGTTCAACATAAATAAAGTTTTGTCCATTTATTACTATATGTATAAAATACTTGTACTTATATTTACACTTACACTTACACTTATACTTATACTTATATAGAGAGTATAAACAAATTTTTTTGTAGTTTTTTTGAAGTAAAACTTTTAGTAGTTTTTGAGTCTTGAAAAATTTATGTATTGTTGGCGTAGACAATTCCAGGAAAATGAAACATCAGATTCAAACAATTCAAACTGATTTTTAATCAGTATGAGTATTGTTATCGTTGGAACTAAAATTATTTCTACTGCTAAAAAATAAATAAAATGGCGGAGGATTAAATGTCAAATGTCTAAATTCGGTGAATTTTTTTAGTCATTTTGTATTGTAAGAAGTATGAAATTGTTGATCAAGAAAGGTTTTCGTGGTCCTCGCGATAGCCACTGATGTGCTGAATAACATGTACAAATTTGAGACTGATTGGTCAAATAGTATTTTTGCAATCACCACCGCCAGCACTACAAAATTTTTTCAACACTCAAAAATACTCTCAATAAGTGTATTAATACACAAACAACATGTCATTTATGTTGAACATTTCGTTCACTGAAAAAAATTCCCGAAGAATGACAATTTTTCAGGGCTCCACGGTGGCAAGATCCCCTTAACCATTGGAGTACGATTCCCGGGTCCATTTGGTTCCGCGTGTTTAAAAACCGTATCAAACTCATCGATTTGTAAATATAATTTAAGCTAGGAGTTGTTCATATTTAGTCATATAAAAAAACAGGTGTCTTTTAGTGATTGCGTTCGAAAGTATGTTTAAAAAGAAGAAAGCATAGGATTTCAAGTGGACTAAGGGTGCCACTGTCTCTAGAAATATTAAAAACGTTCGTACTTCGAGGGTTAATTATGTCGAAGTCATAGTCATTTTCGACCATTTTTCGGACGACTATGAAGTAAATGGAAAATTCAATCTAAACTCGTTTATTGTACAACTTCCGGCGGGTAAATTCATACAGTAATTTCTCGATGAATGCGATACGGACAACGGCGTTATTTGCACCACTGGGAGAGGGGGGGGGGTGGTCCTCTCTGGAACCAATCAAAACAGAGTAAATGAAAGCTAAGCAGAGGTTCGGCTTTGTGTAGAAAATTACAAATTTTTAAGGCGCTAAAAGTCTTTCCGACTTGCCATGAAGGCTCCGAAGCGAATCGGAGTTCCTCGTACTCATCCAGACATTACTGTATTTATTGTGTGTGTTTCGACCGGACGGCACCGTTAACGTTGAGCAGAAAATGAAAGATGTTTATTTTCTACATGCCAGAACTTAAGAAATAAATATTATCCCCCTGCAAGAAAAGCTTTACAAATCGAAAACGTGTAATTTTTCACGAGAGCGAAAAGAAACTGATTCATT